TATATACAATATTAAAAATATTATTCAACTTTGGAATCTGTACGAATATTTATGAATCTCATTGTAACTCATTCTGAAAGATAAAACGTATTCTTCTTTTGATTTGATTCCTGACTTTGATTTTAGTTTTATTCAATGAGTCTATTAATTATATTTATAAAAATGGTAATCTTACTATGTCCAATCGATGATAACTGAACCAGTTGAAAGTGCCTCGCAAATCATCGCGAGGATTCTCTTCATCAATCAACTTTTGTAAATCATCCATCATCAATTCCAGCTCTAGTTTGCTCGTGTTAGCTATCTGCATAAATTCTTGAATTTTAGCCGGCTTGATCATCACGGTCGCGGTGTCGTTGATCTTTGGTGGAACCCAGAAATGATAGCCCTCGTCGTCTTGCATATTTTTTACAAGCTCATATTTAGTTACGTCCGGTACGAAAAGTTTGTACACTTTGTATCCATCGTATCGCACCTTCTCATCGTCAGCGGAACAAACGCTTCCCAAAAGCAGAGTGAAGCATAGAAAAATTTCTATCATTTTTTTAGTAAATATCGAGTAAAACAGAATTGAGTTATTTTAATTAGTATCCATTCATAAAATTATTTTTCTGACAGATATTCTTTTACAATTCTTTGCTTCCAATTATCACTCACTGGATTAATTAATGGAAATTAGAAGAAATCTCTTTAAGAACTTTTAATAATTTTCTAACTAGATAAACTGTTCACGGTAAAGATCAAGGTATTGAGAAAGTTCCGCTTTCACACGACTCCGGATGGAAACTGTTCACTGTCACCGGTTCGCTCTTGGTTTGAAATTTACTTCGCGAGATCCGGCGGCGACGCAGCGCAGGTGTGCCCGAGGTGAATCCTCCTTCGACTTTATATACGAGGCGGAGTGACCGCAGGTGGTAAAAATCGCGTACGTGAGATAAGTATAAACAAATGAGACGAGAGAGAAAGAAATACGGGCGAGGCATTTGCATGCAGGATGGCAGCTACGAGAATTCTCGCGAGGCTGCGAAACGAGAGGCTTATCACTCGAACATTGATGGTCGACCATCGACGAGATTTGCATACTTAGAATTTGCCCGATTTTACACTAAGCTTCCTCTCTTTCTTTCATTAGCGTGTTGTCTCAAACATTCGAATGTTACGCACTACTGTGAGTCATTAGAGAAGTGGACACATGATATGCGGAGTGGCTGCAGGTGGTAAAAATTTTGTGTACGTGAGATAAGTGTAAACAAAGTGAATAGTAAAGAAAAAGAAATACGGGTGGAACATTTGCATGCGGAATGGGTTGCGCGAGGAATTCTCGCGCGGTTGCAAAACGAGCCGGAGATGTGGATTTGGTCAAAGACCTCGAAGGTACCGTTCGAACGAACCTGGGCTGAATAACTTGTTGTGGGACTCAGAAATCTGAATCGCATCCTCGATTTTCTCAGCGAGATTTTTCGGTTCCCTTTACTATCGCATTAATTTTCTGTATGATCATTCAATGAGGCGTTAATATGTACATACATACGTATATTGTATTATGCATTTATAAAGAAATTCAGTGTACAGAAAAACAGAATATCAAGAGTGTAGTGCATTTTACAATATTTAAATGATAGAAGAAACAATCTATTTAAACCATATTTTTCAAAATTACTGTAATGAATACGTGTTGAAAACGTTGCAATAAAAACATCAAAACAACTTTCAATTTAGCTGTTTCGTCGACACGTAATGAGGTTACGCAGACACAATGAAATTACACGTTCCTTTTAAAGCTGCAAGCGCAACCACCCATGATCAAACACCTTCACCTTGCGAGTAGATAGAATCGAAGAAGGAAATCGCTGTTAATCGCGAAGGTAATGATAGAGCAAAGACAAAGAGCAAATTCTTGTCAGACTTCCCATTATTTTACATATCGTCGAAAGGGGACAATTAACAATATTTAACAACGTCCTTCTATTCCTTAGCCGCATGCTGGCATTATCAAACAGACGCGATTACGTTCACGTGGAAATAATACTAATTCTGCTAGAACATACATTAAGATTTCATGGACTAAGTAATTATTTAAGAAGATTAGGGTGTCCTACTTTTATGTACTACTGTAAAAAACTTTGCTGGTTGATCTCGAGCAAAAAAGCTTTAAATAGAATAGTTCTGAGGGGGACACCTGATGAGGACCATTTTGACTCAGGGGATACAGCGTTATGTATATACATTTGAAGGGTGCTAATATACGAAAGAGCAAGAGCTTCTAAATTATAAAGGGAAGCCGCAATCTTTTTGTAGGGGACAGCCGCAGACCATAAATTTTACCCCTAACTTTACTGATCATATCAAAATCAAATTATAGATTTTAAATGATAAACCCAATTTCATATTCCAGATCCGGAACAGGTAAGTCACGATCGTGAGTTCTTAGCGTGCTACTGACTATTAATTAGGAACCGTTCACCGCCAATCGTGTCCTTGCCATGATCGAAGATCAATATCGATCATTACGTACACGACAAGAGAATAATAGTTTATGTTAATAGAATTGCTCGTTGAGATTAAATTGATTAGAAGTGTTTGCATAAAAACTGTTTAGTCTAAAAGTGTCTTAGTCAATATATTACGTAATTAAAATTGACTTACTATTTATACAAAATATCATATTTTTGGTAATCAAGTTGAAAGTTCACAGAGTGATTTATATTTTCGTCTGGAGATAAAGCCTGTTATGAAATTATAATTTCAGTTCTCACGGTTCTACGCATTTTCAAATTAAGTTTTTAACTACGTGCAATTGAAATAACAAAGTGATAACGTCATAGCATTGTTTGTCTCGTGTCACATTATTCTTCAAAGCTTCTATAATAATCATTTGATAATAAAATGTATTACAATCCAGTTCAATAGAATTTATAATTCTTCAAAAAGAATCCAGAACACTCTCCATCTTACTTTAATTTTATTTTACGTAAACGATTATATCTTGGAAACTGTTAACAATAGAAAGCTGAAATTTATAATAAATCTCGAATAGTCTCATATCTGGAACGTATTCAAACCATAGAGTTAGTATAGATAGAGTAGGCAAGACATAGGCGCGCGTGTAAGTGGAAACATCACATCGATAGAAAGAGAGAAAAAACGAACTTGGTATTATTATTTCTTCTCTGTTTCGTCGTGAGAGAAAGATAGCACTACCAAATCCAATTTCCTTTCTCTTTTTGTTCACCGAACGCCTACCTACCGGGCTTGCCTACTCTATCTATACTAACTCTATGATTCAAACTCGTTAAACAGAATTTCTAGTTTTTCAAACAAAAATTCAGCAAGCTCACAATCTTATTTTAATTGTATTTTACATAAGCCTTTTTTATGCCTTGGAAGCTGTTAACAATAAAGGGTTAAAAGAATCAGGAGTAATCTTATGTTTGATATATATTCAAAATCCAGATAAATGGGATTTTTAGTTTTTCAGAATAAAATTTAGGTAGCTTACAATTTTATTAAAATTATGAAAATTCTATTTTACATAAACAATTATGTCTTACAAACTGCTAATAACAGATAGCTGAAATTAACGGAAAGTCTAGAATAATCTCATACTCGAAACATGTCAAAAATTCAGTTAAATAAGATTTATATTACGTATATTCAATTTGCTTTTGAAGAGAATTGCATTGGATAAGCGCATGGTCACGTGATCACGCAGAGAACACGGATGCATTCAAATCAAATAGTCAATACACAACGCGTACACAGATAGATTAAATCTAGTCTTGCCAATAGTTTATCGCACTACATGAGCTATTAATTCCTCTAATCTCGTCGTATAACAGAATACGTTCACTGTAACTTTGTGATACTCTTTGCGGACCTTGTACGCATGGTTGTGAAACTATAAAATGATAAATACGTCACATCAAAACAATTTGACGCAATCAAAGATATATGATACGGATAAAGAAATAATTTTCATTTATATTTTATTTCATCATTTTTGACAATGAAAATGAATGCAAGTTTCAATAGCCTGTGCGTCGATAAACTGGGAATTGCTTAATCTCCACGCATGCGCTTTTCTTCACGCGCTACGCTGTTTCAAATCGATGATGACAAATAGATGAAATTTGAACTTTAGCTAGGATTCATTTGCATCGAGTTCAAATAGTATTATACGAAGTTTATTCTATTGATTCAAAACTGAACATTCTCGCTCTTTCAGTTTTCACGTAACATTTCATTTTACCCGAAAGTCATACACTTTTACCAAAATCGGTGTATCATAAGGCAATTCTGCTTTCGGATTTGTTTTTAGTATGAGAAACTCTACAAGAGTCACGTAATGGATGTTGTAAAAAATGCAAGAAGTTATTTTTTGTTGGACTGTGTTATCGAATGTTATCAGAATTCAGGCATTGATCCTTAGAGAAAATACCAGACAATAACTAAGAAAACACTTTTATCCATTAATTTAAATTGTCAACTTCAAGAATTCTTTTATTTGAGTCAAAGCATTATAGAGTACTTATTGTACCTAAAGAAAAGACAAGAATAACTTAAGTACCTATTCAATTCTCTGTTTGTTTCGTTACTATCTAACTACAATCATTATAAGTTCTATATTATCAAGAGTTACCATAATGCAGGCAATTACTTTTAAAAAAGATAACAGACAATAAATGAAGAATCATTTTTTCCTGTTAATTTAAATACATGATTAATGACGCGTAAGCTCGCGTTTTCAAAATACGTTCCCGGCGACGGCGCTCTTTCACCCACGACGCTAACGACATCAGTATTGGTCTCGGCGGTCTCACCGTATCGCAGCCCAGTACCCAGTCGCGGTTTATTAGCCGAGTGGTAACGCAAAGCGGAGGTGTACGCTGCCGAGGAATCGCCTCCGTTCACCCCGAAAATCACCGCGACATCCGTCCTCAACCCCGAACAACGAAGCTGTGAACGAAACGTTGGAACATTTGTAACGAGGCTCGAGTGTCCGTCGTTACATAGCGAACATCTCGTTCCTGTTATCGATTCGCCGCTCGCGCTAAGGGATTGCGGTGCCGTGGAAAAGAGTCGATTCGAAACTCCAGATACCAAGAAGATGGCGGATAAAATATACTACCCCAATTCGGAGTTGGCGAAAAACGCTCATTGCAAGAGCTTGGAACAATATAGGAAGATGCATGATAGGTGAGTCGTTATTTTCTACGTGAAGTCTCACACGAGTTTCGTGCCAGACGAGGAGTGGACAGTGTAGAGATGAGAAACAGTTTCTTTTTAAGAATTTTTCAACCCCATTTTGACAACATCATCAGAAGTTTTCTCTCTTAGAAAGAAGTGACACGTGCAAGGCTGTTTGATTTACAATTCTAATAACGTTGTTGAATGTCAATTTGAAAGTGTAGTACGTTCGCGAATCAATAATTTTGACCCGTGAGGCGGCCGAGCACGCGGACGCCGAAATTTTAGTACGTTTCACTTTATCAATAAAAGTTCCAATTAGTTTTATAAATAATTCTATCTGTCAGATAGATCGTTTTTATTTGAAGATTCTACTTCGGCGTTTTAATGTTGAAATTATTTTTCATTGCTTAGTATAAGTGATGAGAGAATTATTTTACCGCATATCATCAAATGTTAGGGGATAATAGAAGAGGGTGAACACCGATAGGTGGGAACGTGATATTAATCAGAAGTGTCAGTGTGTTTATTAAGTGCATTCCTTGCGTGGGTGATATGCACTATAAGCTGTTATCTACGTATATTTGTGGAGAATTGATTCTGGAACAGGATTCGTGCTTTTTAATAACTGAAGAGTTTCTCAAATACATTCATGAAATGAAATATTTTTAATAACTTAATCAAAGTTTCTTACAAACGTTTCTCAAATGCATTCATGAAATATAGAGGAAGATGTTATTCGTATTTGTGGAAAATTGATTTTGAAACAGAAATCGTAGTGATATCTCTTAGAAACTGGATTTACAAGTCTATTATTAATAAGTGAATTCATATTTTTTAAATATATACACAAAACACAGACAAAAAAGAACTGTTATTCATTTTTACTCGTTCTTTTCTTCTAATCTAAATCTTCTAGATTTATGCAGTCTTTGCATTTGAAAGTACAAGCAGATTGATCGATGTTTCAGCTATTTCACGTTTGCCTACGTACTTGTGTTGTGAAAATAGACCAATCGTATCGATTCCGCGAGTATTCTGCCATAAGAAACAATTTCTGTCTGTCTAAAGAAGCTAGCGTTTTAGGCGACCTCAAAAGAATTCAGATGAATGCTCTTTGCAAGCATAAAGATGAAATATACAATCCATATTTAACTGTACTTTAATAAAAAATTGCTCTTTGGAGTTTGTTATATAATTCAATACCAACTGAACTTGGAATACTTCCATCTTAATTATCTTGCGCAATTCAACTTTTTGCTTGTAAATTTTCGTACACTTCGCAATGATTCTTTCATGTTATTGCTAAACGGATAACTATCGATCATTCATTGATTAATACTTTCCATTATTCAAATTTTCAGGTAAAATCAATTTTCTATCAAATTATAATACATTTTATGAATACGATTAACTATTTGTTACTATCGTGTTAAGTACGACTGATAAATTTAATTCATGTTTTGAAAACTTCTAACAATAAAGGACTCTTTATAATGAATCTGAGTAACCTAAATTTATTGAGATGAGAATAAAGTCTGATGAGTTATCTCATATTTGAAACATTATTTATGTGAACAATTATATTTTGGAAGCGAAGAAATTTTGGAAGAAGGAAGAAGAAGGAAAATCTAGAATAATCTCATATCTGAAAAATATTCGAAATCCAATTAAATAGGATTTCTAGTTTCGTAGAACAGAAAATTAATGTTAAAATAAATGTTTATATGAAATACATTCTTTGAACTAGTACCATAAATGTTTTATTTTGCATAAACATCCACTGTCTACTTATGAACGTACTATCATTCTAAAGGTCTGTATCATCATGTTGACACAATCATTTATGCCAAAGTGCGATGAGATTTGACGCGCTTCTAAAACTTCATCACTGACCTACTTATTATTATTGCATCAAATACAATTATTGTCATCATATATTTAATTCATTTTTCTTTACCTACAAAGAACTATTGAACTCGTTATTTGTTTTCCTTTATATTTAATTACGAAAGTCTACGTCTCCTTGCGAAAGAATATTTATTTAGAAAAGCACTTGTTTATCATAACGATATCGATTATCCTTTCATCAACAAGATATTATTCTATCATATCGGTTAATCATCCATAACGACCATAAATTGATCAGTTAATCCTTATTATTAAATGCGTACAAAGGAATTCCTTGCATACTATTTTGCTTTTTCAGGTCCGTGAACAATCCAGTGGCGTTCTGGTCTGAAATTGCGAAAGAGTTCTATTGGGAAACACCGGCAGCCGAGGATAAATTCTTTTCGTACAACTTCGATTTGACTAAAGGGGACATATTCATAAAGTGGTTGGAGGGTGCGTCGACAAACATCAGCTTCAATCTTTTAGACAAAAACGTGAAGAGTGGAAATGGCGATAAGATCGCATTCTATTGGTAAGTAATTGTTTTTTATTCCTATGAAGAATTCAAGAAAATCGGTATAGGTATTCCATGAATTCAATTGTTATGATTCAAGCTACTTGTTGATATAAGTAACATTTTCCAACTCATTCAGTAATACTTAACAGGCTTCTTTACTTACATTGATTGGATCTTGAGCCTTTCAACTACGTAATACGTTTATTTACATTCGTTATGAAATGGAGGAAGTAAAGTCGGTGGAAGAACCTGAGCGAGGTCGTAAAATTCGCCCATCGTAAAATCCGTCTTAATAATTAGTAACCGATACGTGTCACCGTCATTCCTTTACAACTGTGTTTATCAGATATGAAAATTCCCTTTTACTGAAGAATAGAACAATTTTTCAAGCTTACGAAAAGAAGGCGATCTTGCTTTTTTAAGTCACAGAGAATTTTTAATTTCTAATATTCGAACATATGGTTTTAGCAATTGTTGATAAAATTGTACGTGACCTACAACTGTCTAGAATTCTTTTGCTGTTTTTTCATTATATGTTACGTTTTCATTATGAATAATATACTCGAAGTTATCATTTCGACTTTCAAATACTATTAAATTGTATTAATAACGTAGCAAGTTTAAACTGACATGAGTTGGCATGTCTAACGGCTATCGCACTGTTTAGTCATTCGAAATTGTTGAAACTTTTTTCTTAATATAATTGTCCTTTCTGCCTTTTTTTTGTAATTTTTCGAAAAAGTTTTATAGACGCTTTTTCAATTTTTTCTTCATACGCCATTTAGCAAACTGATTTACTTAAGTACTAAAAATACCTCGGGTCACTTGAACCGATTTTAAAATACTTATTCATTTCTAAGAAGCGTTATTTCAGTTTTGCCCTTTACTGGCACAAATAATAATCGGTTGAAAATTTTTTTCATTTAATTACAAGTATCTTTGACAAGCTCCTCGTTCGAACTTCCAGTACTCTACACATTCTGCATTCCTATTTAATAACCGTTCGCAAAAACTTTTCAAGATTCTCAAGGAGTTCATATACCTCCTCGCTTGGGTCTTCCATACAAGGCAAAAGGAAAAAAGCACAGGTTCTTTGTCCGAGTAAGAAACTATCAGAGTCTAACATTACATCATTGGGCAGTTCCTGGACTTGCAGTTAAAAGCCCGTAAAACATTGCGCGGGAATGCTTTTCCGTTGACCACTGGCTTTCACTCTGTAGGTGCTCGATTATCTCCCGGATTAAACAAGCCGCGCACGAGCGTCCGGTAATAATCGAACGTCACTGCATTCGTCGACTCATTGCAATGCAAAAACATCGTCGTTTATAGACGCAAGTCATTCAAGTGTCGCATTAGTGATACATTTCTTTCTCGGCGTTCATTGTAGTATCACGCGTGGTATTTTTACGCGGTTTCGAAACATGTCTCCTCATATTGCTAACAGAATATTTTCGAAACATCTCCTCGTTAGAGGACATTACATTACATTACATCAATTATATAATAACATGATAGGAAAATATGTCCAGTCTTATGATACGCCGCTACAAAAAGTGAAGTAGAGTGGAGGAATTTCGTGCTTAGGCAGGCGTTTTTACACGTTAGCGTTAGACGACCGATCAATGAATCAGACACTGTCTGCTGTTCTGTGATCGTACGATGTACTGCCATGCCATTCGTTAACAATTTGGCAGACCATCGGCAATAGCGTTCCGATTGGCTCGGTGCACGTGGTACGACCGCGATAACTAACGCGTGTATATAAACGTTTCTTTAATCATATTTCTTTAGAAAGGCGCGCGATGATAAAAATCAAAGTTCGCGCGTACTACCAACACCAACTCCACGTGGCCGATTATGTAACGCAAAATGATAATTCCTATTGTCTACGATAAAATTGGTTCGAAAAGGATGCGAATTTGAATGTATTTAAAATATGAAATACAAGATATTTAGTAAAAATAGATTTAATTAAAAATAAGAGCGTAACGTTTGGCAAAGATAAATTCTTATCGATTTTCAGTCCAGGTTCTTATCAAATTAGTTTCCGAAGGAAAGATGATAGTAAAGTTTACATCAATTTTTTTTACTCTATTACTATTTATTCACTCGCTCGAGTGGGCTATCACTATTTTTCCTACATGTGCATTCATTTATAGTACTCTTTATTATACGACTGTCTACTGATATTACTGACGTCTATCTTGACCTTATAGAGAAACGAATATTATACATTCACTAATACATGACAATTCATACATATATCAAGATTGTACATTCATTAATGTACATGACAATTCATATGTACACGTGTACTGTTACGCTTTGTTTTAAGGTATGATTGTTGCGGGAACTTTTAAGGTATACATTTAATCTCAGTAAAATTAAATAACAGTTAAGGTGATCAAAGTTGTATGAGCCGTAAGATCTTTGCCAAGAGTTTAAAAAATGTGACAAAATGCTATGTCCAATATTTGAAGCGGTAAACACACTTTTAAGAACAATTATATTTGCAGGAAAGTAAAGGTTCATAAAATTGTTCCACTTGTTCCCCTAAGTCACAATTTTTAACGTATAATTTATAACATTCTCATATGTGGTTTTGATAGGATTTGATTTTTTAATAGGATTGTACCTGACTTGCAACTGTCTACAGATCCTACGATTGCCACTTTTCCTCATTTTTTAATGCATTGAAATAATATCCTCGATGTTTATATTATTTCAACTTTAAAATATTCCTGAACCATGTGTTAACAATGGCGTAAAATTACAAAGTTCTCTCATTGTTTCATTTATATCTTTCCATAAATAAAATCAAAATTCAACATAAGAATGAAAATGTAACAAGCTCTTTTTTAATCCTCACTTTAATAAAATTGTACAGAGTGTTTTATTAATATAATACCTATTAACTATTAAAATTTGAACGCTTTGGTATTGTTTATATTTAAGGGCTCCTAAAACCTTAATAAGCCTTTAGAACATGCTTTATTAAAGTGAAACAGGAAAATTACTATGAGTAAGTGATCATAAGGACGATCTTTTGCTCCGTCTTCCGGTTCCCCTATTTTTCTCTTCAAGCGTGAAAAATATTGTTCATTTGTTCATAGAAATGTTTTCTCGTGTCACTTAAAACATTCATAAAATCGTCATAACATCGGTTACGTCAAAGTTTACGCAATAACGTTTAATCGTGAATATCTGGAGCACAATTATGAAAATATTGTGGGTTGCGGTATATATTTAAGAAACGTGAAACTTGAACTTTAAACCTGTCACAGATACGTGTGTCTGGGTTACCTGGTTACACATAAAGCGTTACACTTGTTGAATAATCATTTTTTTAACGTTACGTATTATTCGAAGTACAGGACATGCATTCAAACTCTTATCGTGGCAATTATTGATAATACCTAATTACGTTTCAGGGAAGGTAACGATCCGGACGATTATTCACGGTTGACGTACAGAAAACTATTAGAGGAGGTATGCAGGTTCGCGAATGTGTTAAAATCGAAGGGGGTAACGAAGGGGGATCGCGTTGCCATTTACATGCCGATGATCTTGGAACTTCCGATCGTCATGCTCGCGTGCACCAGAATCGGTGCTGTTCACAGTGTAGTGGTAAGCACTCTCATACACCTTGACAAATAACAGATAATCAACGGTTTGAATGAACGATACTTTGACACTTGATATATTAAATAGTTATACTGTAGATTTTATGCATTTATGAGAAAATTGACATGTACAAGAGTTATATACAGTGCAAGTAATGCATAAAAATTAGAATAATATTAGAATGATAGAATAGCGAACGAAAAATGCA